CTCTTTCCTGCCTATGCAGGGGGTCAGACTCGATGATCTATTGAGGTCGCTTCCGACCCTAACATCTATGAATCTATGAATCTACTGGCTGAGCACTGTAGCTTGTGTCTGAAGCAGTAATTGAGCTGCCTGAGAATGAGTGAGCTACTGCATACAGTATGTAGTGTCCTGATGAAGCTTGTGGTATGGTAACAATATTTTATTATTTACAAGAATGTATAAAAAACCTATTTACAGTAAAGAAGTAACAGTGTTGCCAGTGCCCCCACAAGGGTCTGGAGTCTAGCTTTGTTGCTCTCCTGCCACACCAGGAAGTTCCTGATGCCTTACCTAGACACTGACTGCATATATACATCTAAATCAACTGAAAATAATATGATTTAACTAAGTCAACTTAAAGTTACATCGGAGTATACGCACGTACAGATCCCTGACATGGTGGCAACCATCTTGTGAGCCCTCACCTACAGTAGCCCCTTAGAGCTGACTTAACTATGCAACTCAAGATAATATAACTCAGAGGTGTATTACTTTGTGCTGTATTTAAGTCAACTCAGAACAACATAAGAGTGAATGCTCTAACAGTTATAAAAGTCAACTTAACTGTCAAAAAGTTAGTACGGCTAGGTACAGACATTCAAAAAGCCCACTGTAGAATTGATCTAAGTTACACTGTTTTCTTTAAGCGGCATAGTTTAGATCAGTAATAAACAGAACCTGCATATGCCCTTAGTAGCTGTGTCCAGACAAGTGTGGATGTTTGTTTCCCCGGGGATAAATATCCGTGGCACACCTTGTGCTGCTGCTACTTGTCCACAGGGAACACCCGTGCCATGTGCGTTCCGGCATGTGGAAGGTTAACCTGGGTGTAGTAGGGGAGCTGGGGCCAGCAACTGTGCTGGCTCCAGCAGCCTTACCTGGGGTCCTCGGGTAACTGCAGTTGCGGCAATCCTGCAGCTGGGAACCTGGCCAGCAGCTGGAGCGTGGCTCCAGCTGGCCAGGCTCTGGTTTCAGGCGCTGCTTTTCTTTTGCATGCGTTATTTTGACCCTGGGATCTCCCAGGGTAAAAAATAAACCCCATGCTACAAAGTAACAGTGTGGGGTATGCCTGCATGTCTGATGCCGCAGATGGATCTGTGGCACCACATACTTTACATCTGCATTCGTCTGGACACAGCCAGGGAGGGAAGGTGGGGAGTGCAAATGTTAGACTCGGTTCCACCATTTTTAAACCAGTCTGTGCGCGGCAAAATTCTGTTCTCTTATGGGCACAGACTAGTTTCCAATCACCTATACTCATAAAATTGTAATGTCTTTACCTGGCCTGTGTGTTTACGCACTTGCTGTCTCCTGGGATGCTATACTTTCTGTACACTCTAAATCTAGGAGGATGTGTGGCATAGTCAGCCATGATTCTGGGAAAAAAACCTTTTTTCTACAATCTACTGTCCAAAAATAATTTGAATGTCTTATTTGAGGGTGTGTGCTATGCAAGGAAATACAGTATGTTTGATAAGCTACTGAGAGAACTGGTACATCTTTAAGCAGTATAAAATTAGATGGGGGTCTTCTACTGTTTTATGTCACTTTCTAAACTAAATTAAATAAAATCCGGCTTTAGGTACCAAAATCTTTAGGCAGAACTGGAAGCTTTGAAGCCTTAAAGCATCTCTATTCAGCTGCTAATGCTGGAGGTGCATATCTCTAGGTGCCTTGAGTTCTAGTTCTGTGCATGAACGTAAACGTATCCTACTTTTAGGAAGCTAAGCACCTAAGCCTGATTAGGTATTCCTTTACATAGTTATTGGATCCTGAAGTCCCTGATATGAGATCTGAGTCTCCCCAACATGCATTTTGGGGCTACTTTTGCTAAAAGCAAATAAGCAAGAAATAGGAGATCAGGGTTCAGAATCTTCCTCAGCCTGAGAGGGTTCAAAAACACATCTCTGATTTCATATGAGAATGCTCTTATCACCATACTACAGATTGGTTTGAATGGACAGCTTGTTGAAGCTGTGCCACTGGAACAAAGGATTCAAGATTCACAGGATGTGAGAGGTTAGGAGAAGCAAGAGGAAACAAGCAATATGGTCTTGTAGCATAGGAGTTAGAACACTTCACTAAGAAACAGGGAGCCTGGGTTCTGGTTCATATTCCCAGAATGACATAAAATATAGATTATCAAAACAGATTATAGAAATACTATTGTGTTAATACTGATATTTAAAACATTTTATTAGCAGTTTGTACTTTACTATTACTCACCTCCCCAAAGGTCCAATTGCCACTGTAAAATTTCCTCCAAGGGTAAGATTGCCTCCTTTTGCAAAAGCTTCAACTGCTCGCTCATGATTCAGTATTATTACTAAATCTGACACCTAGTAATCAAGTAAAAAAATATATCTCTATTTTGTATTTTAAGATTAATACTCTGAAATTTAATCTACACGATGAGAAAAAGAACAAGACTTGTGGGAACAGAATTTTCTATTTTGTGGGATATTCCAACATTTCAAAATTTCAAACACATACAACAAAGCACACTTTTCCTTCACAATCTTTATTTAAAAATAACCATTCTGACTAATTAAACCATTTATTACAATAAAAATAAAAGTATTCAAATGTCAACATTTTAAAGCTTTTAAATGTATTTTTTATAATAATGTATGTCATTATAAAAAGCTCTCAGGAAGATAAATGGAAATATTCTCTTCTGAAGTACTAAAACAGAATATTTGAAAATATTAAGAAGGTTTGTTTCATTTTTGCTGAAAGTGTAGGAGTTCTGGTTATGCTAGGCTGTGGTTATACTAAGCTATAGTTAAACTGAGGCACCGCAAAGGAGCTTGGGAGCAGCAGGCTTCATTGGCTGCTGAATGACCTGATAAAAGAAGCAGTAAGCAAAAATGCTGATTCAAGGAGAATAGAAAAAAAACAGTAGGAGAGCAACTTGAGAAGTATAAAGTAAGAACTCACTAGTAAAGATAACAGAGGCTGAATGTAGATGCCTAAACTTGGCAGTAGGTGAAGTACAGCTATCCCAAGTTGGCATGCAGTGAGCTGCAGGTGTCCAAGTTGGCAAAGAGACAGGTAAAAAGGAACATTTCAACAGAGAAATAAGAATTAGCATGGGACAGAGGGCATTTCAGCTATAAATATTGAGGCTTTGAGACTCGTCCCTCATAGTGACCTTGGTGATCGTGGGCTATAAGCATCATGTTGCTATTATTGTTTCAGGGTAGTTTTGCTGAGCTGATTGCTACATAAACCAGCTGGTGTACTGTCTTAATAGACAATAAACCTGTTTGAGTTTTTGTCACCAAACATGAATTTGAGTTGTTCTTTTTGCATTTAAGCTCTGGGAAGTTGACTGCAGGCAATGATCTCTTCAAGCACACAGATGTAAGAAGCCTAAACACCAAAAGCAAAAGCAGGCAGGAAGCCAGCTGGAAACACACCCTCTGCCTCTGAACAGAAACTACCTTTCTAATGTGCTTTTATTTTTATAAGAACATCTTTCATGTCACTTGACAAAATGTTTTCAACAAGTTCCAGAAAGAGCACAAGCATTTGCAAAATACTTTTTTTTAAAATGTCTTTTGAAATCCATCAGTTTCAAGGGAAAACTGAAATGAAGAAAGCTATTGTTCTTAATCCTATGGGCACTGTGGACATTTATACATGTGCTGTGGGAGTGGCGGGTGGAGGGGGGTGCTTTAATTAAAGTGGCTCCAAAAGTCGCTCCAAGTAAATCACCTTGAGCATCTCATGTATCAGCATCCCTGCCTTCAAAATGCTGGTGGGGGTGATTTATATAAAGCTTGTTCAAATGAGCTTTAGATAAAGCACCTCTGCCACCATTTTGAAGCATGGAGACGCTGATACACAAGACATGGAAGGCTGCTAGAGCACGGTAATTTCCATGCTACAGCAGAATCGATTAATTGAGTCCGCTCTGACACGTTGTAATTACAGTGTGTTGAAGCAGCCTCCCTGTTTGTCTACAAGCATCCACTGAGGGCATAAGTAGGAAAGTAGCTAATTTTTTGTTGTTGTTGTTATTACTGGGCTCTTTCAAAAGTCCCAGGAAAATGGGAGAAAATATCTATGGATTATGATGTCTAAGAAGAGTGCATAATTTCCTGTTACCAACAGAAACTCATTTTCTGGTTTGAAAATGTTCTTAAGGGTATTTTTCTTTCTTTAAACTAGTATTTAATTGGCAAATAGTTAGTAAAATATTTTCTTCAATAAATCACTAATTCATAACATCAACTTTCCCTTTGGATTTTCCAAATAAAGACAAACATTCTATCTTTCAAATACTTGGCTTACCCAATGCACCATAAGAATTACATCTGCAAAATAGTGACTTTTTATTTCCATTATTAATTCTGATAAAAGGAAATGGGCATTGATATATATTGATATTACAAACAGAAGGCTGTAGAGCGCTATTTGAATTAACTATCTACATTTCATAAATAATAATATTGAAAATAATGTATCAATTATTTTAAATATTATTATATGTGAAAATAAATGTGCCTTAAACACTTATACACACAACTGACTTGTGTAGTCATAGTTTCTATAATTATAAGCTATAGGTAAAAATCCCAGAAATGTGTGATTCCAGGAACACACCATCTCGTGAATTTTCATATTTAGGCCCCTAAGGGCTTAAATCACTGCTAAAATCCAGACTTCAGCACCTAAATCACTTAGGTATTTTGGAAATTTTATCCGGTTTCTCTACAATTAAGAAAGAAAACTGTTTTCTGTAATATTGTATAATAGCTGAACTAGTAAAAGTCTAAATATAGGGCACACTATTATTTAGAAGGAGCCTGCATGACTTTCATTTTTTCAGAGTAATTATGCATATTAATACTATTGATTTTCTCAAAAAAAAGGACTATATTACTTAAACATGTCAGATAGGAATGATTCAGTAAACATTTTGATGATTAGTTACAAAAAGCAATAGTGGTTTTCTTTACTTACATAAAAAGGGAAGAAACGTTACAAAGCTAGCCTCGTAACACAGTCCCTCTTATTACATGGAGATGTGAAACTAAAATGCATTAATGTCTGTGAAGTACTCAGGTACTACAGAGATAAGTGCCACAGAAAAGCCCTTGAAAAAATTAATAATCTTGTATTCATAGGAGGTTCCAAAGAATATTCAGTAATAAAGCCTAAGGCCACACATTGAACAATGAGGATAAAAATATGCACTGAATAGCTGCTCATTATATGAGCAATGGGCATGTACTTGCGTGCACTTGGCTGGGCCCTGTAACCAGGGCCACAGCACTGCAAAAATTCCAGGTAGTGCCTTGGATGTTGCCATAACTCAGGTTCAACCCAAAAGGATAACTGTAACTCAGGGCTGTCCAATATCTAAGTGGCTGGGAGCCATGTGCCCCCTCAAGCCACATTAGCAGGGCAGAGACTCTACCAGCAGGGGCCATAGGCATGCCTCACCCTGCTCCTGCACCCCATGTTCCCCTCCCCCACACCCACAACACCCTACTCCTAGGCCCTCCACTTTTTTTTTTTAGTTGGGGAAGGACATTTAAATGGAAAGAAAAAGAAGGGAGTGAAAAGGACAGGGGAGGGTTAAAGAGGGTCAGATGGTAGATGAAGAGTGAAGCCGAGGTCAGGAGTAAGTGGAGGGAGAAAGCAAATGAACTGATGTCAAAATTACAAGAGCACGACGGATGTCTGAAGGCTTTTGCCTTGGCTGTTCAAGCTAGCTGGTTCCTGAAGATCGTGTGGTTAGGATAGAGGAGGCATCACTCTGGTTCTAGTGCCTCCTTTATGGAGAAAGGTATTTTCTAGTAGTTTTGGGACCAGGGAAATGTTTTTTAAGGGGAGTGGTGGCTTTAGCTGGACCATTATACCACAGCACATCAGTCACAAACTGGGTTGTTTCTGTGCTTAGAAGTTAAGACTGTCTGGCTTTCTTTTTAAACAAAATGTAAATAAAAATGGTGTGTGCCAGCTGAAGAAGTTGACTAGTGGGGAACCACAGGATTATGTATCACTTAAGGATTATTTACTTCCAATTAAAATGTACTGTTTTACAGAAACGTACTCTATATATGCAACTGAAATAGGTTTTTTTTTTAAACCTAATTTCAAAAGATGTCAACATCAAAACTTTCCTTGTTAATGGATGTTATACTGAAAATTTTGCTTTTATTATACCTTAAGTGTGTTTATATAAACACTTACCTCAATTCCAATTTCAAATCCACCACCGAGGCCAGCTATCCCTATTGCAGAAGGAGCAGACCAGCCTGAACCACATGAAATAAGATGCACATTACAAGCCAACCAGTCAGTGATAGTTTATATATATATGTTAGATAACTTGAAAAATGCAAGTGACTGAATTGAAAACAGCTGTATTAGTACAGTGAAATAGATTTCATTCAGGACTTTTTACATTGAATAATATTTTATTAGGCAACCTGCTTAAAAAGTTTTGAAAATATACACCTCAATATACAATAAAATATCTTTCAAACTTCTGAAATTTAAGTTCAGTTAATCTTTTGGATTTCAAAATTGATTAAAAAGTATTATTTTCACACAAAACTTAAGAAATTTGAAAATGAGGATTTTTGTAGTAGATATATGCTAATGGATTTTTTGGGAGGGACAAAGGAGTAGAGGGAAGGTAGTTAGATTTTGTAGCTGTCATGATTTTCTGATGATAGTTAGTTCCCAGCAATTGCTATCTATGATTGTTTGCTATTATTTTTGTAAATGAGGGGGAAATTAGCCTCCACACTTAACTGAGTAGAAAAGCAGAAACTTACAGCTTACTGCAATTTGTCATTGCCTAAAATGAACTGTTTCATAACACTGCAGTGAACTACCATGTATTGAGTTTCCAATGCTTGTTACTTAATATTACTTACTGTAATACTTGTGTGGGTAAATATTGATTTCAAATACAAACAAGCACTTAATCATTAATCAACACAGACAAATGTGTTTGTTAACTTGGAAACAAGAAAGAAACCATTAGTGTCAGAAAGCATTGTAGTGACTTACAGGATTTTTGAAATGTACTCCTACTACCTCTGTAACACAATTTCATCTCAATTTCTTTATTTTGTCCTTCTTATAATACATGGCATTATGTGATAAGGTTGAACTGTAGCTTCTAATGTTCTAAACATTTACAGAGAAATATCTGGAGTACATTACTTCAGGGAAGTGAATAAGGTATGTTTTTCCCTGGTGCATGTACTTCCCCAAACTCAAACTATGTAGTGCTCAAACTGCACAAAGACTGGACTAAACTTTTAGCATCTGACTGGGGCTTGTTATCTTGTCTCTCAGAGTGTCTTATTTTTCTAAATAGCAGCTTTGAAATTGACAGGACCTAATTTCATCAGGGCTGCTGAAACTGACAACTCCTAGTCAGTTTCACCAATGATGCAGTTGGAGGGAATACAGTTTACTTAACAGCAAGTAAGGCCAAAGAGTTCCTATGCACTTAAATGATTTATGCAGATAACGGATATTTATAATAAAAGTGAAAAAGCAAAAATTGGAACCTGTGTCACCTTATGTAGTTAAACTAATTAAGTATTTATCCTTTATGCATACAACTAAAGTATGCATCACAATGTTTATAGCTCTGGCACTTAATAAAAATAACCACTAATTATTATTATTTTAGAGTTCTTTGTCCATGACAGCAATCCTGCACATACATGGCATTCATTGCTTTCTAAAACAGAGAGAGAAAGAGAGATCTCTAAACGAGGACATTTTGTTATTGTTAGGTAAACCATTGTTTTCTCAGTAGATTTAATAAATAAGTAAATATATATTTATAAATACATAAATTTCTAAATCTAAAATCAAACAAATGTGCCCTGTGAAGGATATACTACCGCTCAAAAGGAAGGGCTGGAATCTGCTACTAAAACAGTCAAAGCAGAATCATAGAGGGCCCGTATTCCATGCAGGGGCTTGGCTCTAAGTCAGAAGATGAAGAGCAGGAGAGGAGCTCAGAAGTTGTGCTGGCTACTATAAGTGGTAGGTTTTCCCTGCTAAGTAAGCAGTCTCAGAATCTTGCAGACTCAAAGACAGAGAGCTCTGAACTTGTTTCCTGTGGTAAAGGCCTTATGAAATTTGTGGTCGGGATATTACAGAGGGCAAACAGTTGCTTTGTTAATTTGTTTTGGCTTTTCCCTGCTTGAATTCTTTACCACCTAAGCAGTATAACCAATGAAGCTTGACCCATAAACATTTTCTTTTAGGAAGTGGGGATAAGTATACTGCTTGCTTTCCAGTCCACTAAGATTCTGGACTGGTGACATATTTATATCAGCGTAAACACGTAGTGGAAAGACAATGCAAACCTTTAAACCAAGATAACTTCACTATTTGGTATATCCTGAAGGAATCTAGGGCAAAACACTCTACTGGTGTATATTACTGTGGATTAGATCATTGTTTGTGTACATCCACCCCAGAGAGGCCATCTGCTAAAGGCACAGCCTCACTCCACCTCTACCTAGTGGCAGAGCACAGCAAGACCCACCTATTTTGAGACATAACTGAGGATTTTTCTGTTCCTCAACTCAGTGTACACCTATTTGATGTAAATTACACTGGGATGTGTGTGTCTGCTCATGCTATACAATTAAAAAAAGGTAAGAAATTTAAAACTGGATCCTTTTTTCTCTGCATGGCAGACAAACTCCCTATGGTATGACCTTAAAGCATAAAACTTAATATAATTTTAAAACAAAAAAGTAGATGTTTTAATTACTGCAGCTACTACATACACCCCTTGCCACTGATGTACCCCACAAGGCAGATAATGCAGTCAGCTGATCTCTGCTCCCAGCCTTCAGAGCACTTGGGAGTCAAGGGCAATTTAGGGCACTACAGGAACCAGCCACAAAGTTATTACACATGACCCTGGGCTCCCCTGACACTGGTAATATGGCACGATGAGTATCTGATCCCTGATCTCACAATCATGCCTCCTGTTATGCATGTGTAGCATGGCAGGAAACGTGTTGGGATCATGCATCAAATCCCATGGCACCTTTAACTAAACATCTGCCAGGGGGCTAATATATGTTAGCAAAATAAATGTATTATAAAGGATAGTAACCTTCAGGCTTTAGAACATATCCAAACCAATAACTTCATATGGATACCTTATTACAAATTTGTTCATTATGAGGATGTCCCTCATTGTTTTGGTGCATCTAGCCCCTGTTAAAAGACTCTACTTGTACCAAAAAATGTACCTATTTTCCAGCAAAGAGGCTTAAAATACCTAAGTCTGATCAACAACAGTGTTAACAGCAGTGCAGTTGCAATGTTTCTAATCATTTCTAAGTTTCAAACTTTTCTAATGTAAAAAGCAACCTTTGAGACAAGATACTGAGCTAGACATATTGCTGGTTTGATCCAGAATGGCATTTCCTATATTCTACTTCGTTTAAAGAAAGAAGAAAGAAAAATGACTTATACTTGCTCTGAAGTTCCGCCCTGAGGTAGAAAAAGAAAACATCAACTTACTTCCATTAGGAAGACGAGCTAATACAATCCCGCTGCCTCCTCGAGCAGTTACCAAGAATCCCGCTTTGATAACAGATAAAACTGCAAGGCCTTTTGCTTTAGCTATTACATGGGCTGAAAAGAATGAAACATAAGCTAGTTAATAAACATTTTTAAAAGAGCATGAAGAGTATATGAAAACAAAGTAAAAAATAGTCACACTTAACAATTCTGAATTAGAAACGGTAAAGAACTAGTGATTCTCAACTTTTTTAGAGTAAAGACACCCATCAGGAAAGGCCTACTCTTAGCTTCTACTTGTTTTTTGATTACAGAAATATACTAGAACAATTCTTCTTGTTGCAAAGAACTGAGAACGACCACAACAGTCAGAATGTTTGTTGATTCTAAAGACTTCTATCTGATAACTCTGAGTTTACTTTGTGAATTTTGTAGGTGTTTGCACACTCAACAGTACTAATATTGTGCATCACCCTTAAAAGGATCTTGCAGCATCCCACAGTGCCACTGGCACCCTGGTTGAGAATCATTGTAAATCTGAGTAACAATTCTGAGTAAAGTTTAAGAAATAACACAAAATCGTGAGCTAAATCAAGTTGTGCCGGCATTTAAGCATATGGTAAAGAACTTGGTAGCATAAATTAACCTAGTCTCAGTGCATGCTGCTCTGACTATACTGCTGATGGTACCTCATCTTAACAACAGATACCTCTGCAGTATTCAATATATATATATATATATATATAACCTAAAGTGAAATACAAAGATGACAGTGAAGACAAGACATTGTGCCTCAATGCATTTTTAAGAGGGAGAAGTTTGAAATTAAATCATATGGCAGTCTAATTACCATATAGGATTTAATACTTGGTGACAAAAAAAAAATGAGATCAGAAAATCAACTGTACTGTCTTTAGATACAACTTTTTTCTAAAATTTAAAAATTGGAAGCTACAAATGCAGGATGAAGATAGAAGATATGAAAAAAAAATACAGAAACAGTAGCAGTGGCAGAAATAAAGCCAGACAACAAAGAATACAGAGAGGGTCTGTTATACTAGCATAAAACTAGCACAAGAAAAAAAATATCATTTATGTTCAAGGAGTTACTCAGTTCACACTTGTATATCAGAAAAGAACCACATTCAGATATATGCTGAAATTTTAGCCCTGTAACAACGTCATCAGAAAATATGTAAACTGAGTTTTTTATTTTATCTTGATTATTCTAGCGACAATAATTTACTACAGAAATACAGGGGATATCCACTATATCTGGTCTTCCCTAATTGAAAAGCCCCATCCAGGCATGGAAAGACCCTCTTATATCAACACTCTGGAGAGGAATTAAGCTGTGAGAAAGATGTATTGCTGACTGCCTGGGACACAGTGAATCTCACCCCTTACTAGTAAATTAAGGAAAAAAAGTGTGTGCATGTTGAAAACAGATACAAAACAGATAGGGTCCAAGTCTTCATTCTTCTCAGGAAAATATAAAATGAATTTTGTAAGTATTAGTGAAGCCAATGAAACTTTTGCTTGGGTGAGGATAGGAAAACTGAACCATTTAATTACAGCAAAGTGTTTTCTTTACTTACCAGGTATAATCTTATCAGGTCCATTTCTGGAAGTTATTTCTGTAAATTCTCTTAATATTTTTGCTGCCTTTTTAGCTTCTGACTTCAAATTGGATGGTATAGGGTTATTCACTGTAAAACATAAGAAAAAATAAAATGTTGACAATACTGAAATGAGTCCTCCAGATCCTTTAATTCTTCTGATTCATTTGTAACATTATGTTGTTGCCTCTTGCCACCATAAAAAGTCATAGTTTCATAGTTTCAGGGTCGGAAGGGACCTAATAGATCTTCTAGCCCGACCCCCCGCCAGGGCGGGAGAACAACAAAAAAAACCCCCTAAAAACAAAAACGGGACTCAAATGAGTCCAGCCAGGTAGGTATCCAGTCAATGCAATCCGTCTGAACTAACGAGGAAAAAAATACATCAACTACTGCACAACTATATGGAGGGCGTATCTACACAAGATGTTTACTGTGGAGCTGCCTAATTAGCTCTGCAGTAAAACATCACTGTCTATGCATGTGATGATATTAAGACGGAATAAACTAATTAACTCCACTGAAGGATACTACTTGTAAATACAAGTAGTATTCTGCAGCGCAGTTCTTTACTCCCCAGCAATGCAGATGTAGACGCTGATGGGGCTGGCTGGGGCACAAGGAAGCAATAAACTCTGGAGCAATATGCCGCAGAATTTTTACTGCTCTGCCTTAATAGCACATGTAGATGCACCCAATATAAGCAAGTTGAAATACTTGTCAATGAATCACAGAACAAACAGCATTACTTTCTTCAGAAACTTCCTTTATTAAAGAGATAAGGCTCACAGCTTAACAACAAAACTTGAATGAGATATTTGAATATATTCTTATTTTTTTTCTCTTGAATAGATTCAGATATATGATGCTTCCTGAACAAACACTTAAATCTTCCACCTATAACTGGATGTCAGAAAGAGCTGATTAGAAAAGACATCTTCTGAAATTGGTTTTCACTGGAAAACATACTAATCAAAATTGAAACCAGTTATGGGTATGTACCAATTTCAATAGAAGAGAATTCTCTGATTCAGGGCAGGGACTTCTGGTCAAAACAAGACTCTCACTGCTCCTCCCCACAACATACAGTATTCAATGCTTAAATGAAACAGCTCCTGGGTGGGGGGGGCAAAGAGAACATGGCATTGTCAGTAGCCTGGGGTTAAGTCACTCAGCTAGCAACAAAGTTTAGATTAGGGACACAAACCTCTGCCTTGCATATTCCAGATGTGCGTCCTAATAACCAGGGTATTGGTTACTCTGCTGAGAATCTCTCTAGTCTCTCCTGAGGAACTATTCCACTTCATATAATATTCACGGACATAGAAAATAAGGTTGATGTTATAGCTCGGTGGTTATGTCACACACCTAGAATTTCTAAGTTCCTTATCTTACACAAGGAGATCAAAGATATGAACCTGGGCTAGTTATATTGCTATGGTACCTCATTTCCAGGAACTGTCAAGTGTAAAGATAGAGAAAGTAGGCGGGACATGCTCCATGGTGGTACTCCTTTTGGAATGCCCTCAGTCTGTTTTTTCATAAAAAAGATGGACAAGTTTTTGGGTTTGCTCCATCATAGAACAGGAAAGTTTCCAAAGTAATGACAATTTTCATAAAGATAAAAATCTAATCTCATCAGTTGTACTGAAGAACAAATCTTAGGATTTTAATTGATTATGCAGAACATATTAATCAAAGTAACTGAAACCTAGATTCATGAACACTTGAGAGAAGTCTAGATAACACATTGGGCTTTATGTTCAGAATACAATCCATGAGACACAAACCGTAGCAGTTCAAAAACTGGTCCAAAAACTACCAAACATGCTTGATCCATATTTTAAACTTCAATTTTAGGACTTGTATAGATTTGAAAAAACATTCAACAGATAAAAATAAACAAATCTTACACACACACAGGAGGCAGGGGATACATGATTTTCTTAGTAGTATTAAAAAAAATTATTCTAAATGAATGCACTGGAAGTACATGGCGTGGTGGCTTCTTTAATCATGGAGTTCCCCCCCCACCCCACCTCCACTGATTGGTGGAGGGGCCCTGTCACTCACTGCTTGCCACCTGTACCTGATGACTGGGAGGCAAAAACCACAATTTTAAATATGCTGTGGGTTTCACCTCCTGGCCATCAGGTGCAAGCAGCAAGCAACTAGGCCCCTCTACCAATCAGCGGCAGGGGAGCACACAGGGAAAACTCCAAGATTAAAGAAGCCATCAGGCCACACATTTCCAGATGAATTCTGAAGATCCCTAAGATGAGTTATATCAGTAGAAGGTTCAGATGGATGTATGCCCATTTCAAACCAATTACCGCTTCTGGTATTGCTCCCACCGCTTCTGGTATTGCTCCCACTGCTACACTGGATTAACCAGTCTAGTTACCTATAGACATTTCACTATTCCAAGATTTCTTGAATACATGGGTCCCCTCTGTTGAAATGCTGGACATACCCAAGTAACTCCAGCTCCTGGCAAATTCGCAGACACTGAATCAATTACATGCCCCATGTAATTTTTTGTGTAATTCCATCAGAAGTCCTTGCCTTCTCAGGGAGAGAAATACGCTCAGTTTTATCTTTCCAATAGCCACAATCTGGACAATGGAAGCGTTCCACAAGAGCTACCACAGCAAAGGAAAGGAAAACAATGCGCGTAGGGTACTTCATGTTGCTCCAAAGCACAGGAGTGGCAATAGATGTATGAGAACATCGAGAGGTCTGATCAAATACTTATTGCATGATATTTATGACTTTAAACCTGACTTCTGCCCAAAATACTTACGCACAACACTATTATATATTGAAATTTGACCACAGCCCAAGCCTGATATGCCTTCAAAAACCATAGACCTTGACCAGAAGAAGTCCCACAGACAGCATAGATTTCTTAACAAGGTATATAGTCAGCAACGCAGAAATGCAGAAACAGAAATGCAAGACTCAGGCAGAGTGCCAGAGTGCACTGCAGAGAGCTTCATCCAGTAAGTATTACAACAACCTTTTATTATAACAATCTGCATGATCAGTGTCTATTTAGAAAGCTTTTTTTCAGGTACAGTTTGCCCAGTGCCACATGCAATAAAGAGAGATGCGGGGTGGAAAAATTTCCAGTGCTTTATTTTCCCGTGGGAAATTTTCTGTGGAAGGAGATATACCAAGCCTTTCAAATATTCTAGAGATATTCAGACAACTGAATGAAAATCTAATTGAGCTTTTGCCTTCTTCACATCTACCCAAACAAGTAGTAGTAGTAAAACAAATGCTTACTAAGAGATCTGAATTTTGCTCTCATCCAGTTCATCTGGCAGCAAACCTTTTGGATCCTCATCACAGAAGGCAACATTTATCAGAAGATGAATTATCTACTGCTCTTGATACAATTATGGATGTAGCTAAGAATGTCCCCAACATTTATGAAATAGCCGTGATGACAGACATTGCTGAGTACCGCGCAAAAGAAAAACTTTGCAGCAAAGACATCATTTAGCAGGCAGCAGAGAATGTCTCCTCTCACATAGTGGAAGAGATACTGTAACACCCGACTGTTGTCCAGGATTGCTCTAAGGATCCCAAGCATTCCACCAACAGCAGCTTCTTGTGAACGGAACTGGAAGGCCTTCAGCTCAATCAGTGCAAAAAAGAGGAATAGACTAACAAATGAATGCACTGCTAAGCTTGTTTCTATTTGTCAAAATCTCTTGCTTCTGGAGAATCAGTCAGAAGCACAATTAATGAAGAAGATGCAGTGTGATGATAAGTTGCCCTTGCCCATAGACTCATTGGTAAAACCATTCTTTAGCAAAAGAGAATGTGGTTCAAGTAGTTCTGAATTAGATTTGCCTCAATCTGATTCTGAAATGGAACTAATAAGTGCAAGTGATTCTACAGATAGTGACAGTGAAACTGGAGGTGCCGCAATGACCGCAGTGGAAGAGAGTTCAACTCTACCGAAGTATACAAGTCGATAACCACGGCATATCGTGAACAGTTCTTTGGGTGTGCTAAAATTAGTGTGTCAACAGTTTTCAGTGCCTTAGTTTTCTTTCCTTAAATTTAAACAAACAACATAAGGGAAGTACATGCTATTGTATACTGTCTTTACATTTTTACAAGTACTCCAATAAAAATAATTTATTTCCACATAAAGCTTTGAATCTGTTTGGATATAACATTTAAACCACGTTAAGTGTGCAGTATTCAATTTTTTTCCTAATAAATGATTTCAGTTCAAATACTTGTGGCTATTGGGACATAAAATTAACATGGGGTACTTTTTTAGTTTTGTTTACTGAATATAAGTCAAATAAACATGCTAAATCAGATGACATTCTATTTAGGGCACTGGAAAATTTTCTAGAAAACTTTCCAATTCAAAATTTTCCGGAAAACCCACATCTCTCACAGCAGATGAAACAACAAGGGAAGAATACACCCAACTCTTTGCAGTTTTTTTAAACCCTCCATTTGCTTGCTTTTCTGCCTTTTTTCAGGTCACAAGCAAAAAGTAACAAATCTTGCTTCTCTGAGCATGTTTGGACAAGGAAAGGAACATGCAAGAAGGGATGGTGGACATAACGCAGGAGACAGTCAGTAAGAAAAGGGCTAAAAATGGCTGTCTGAAGTCCTTAATAAAACCAAGAAACTATGAGCTTGATTGAAGCTCCATTGTCAGAAAGAAACTGAAGGCACTGGAGGAGAGCAGTGCCTCCTGGTATCTGAGCAGAAGCGCAGCACCCGGAAGAGAGCATTCTCTCAGGGATGCATAACCTACGGGAGCCTCAGTAGTAACCTCCCACCCCAGCCACATGTGGATGCATCCTGTTGTCTGTAATGCCGCTCACTCTGCAGGTTGGCAGAGAGTAGTTTTTCTTTTGGGGTCCATGAGGGTACAGGAGGAATGGAACCTGTGTAGGTCAGGTGGAAAGGGCACACAATGAGGGTTGTGGGTCAGGGGTATTGTGTATGGGGGTGACTAAAGAACCCCTGGGGTGAGGGCAGCATGGAATAAAACCATTGCTGCAGTCAAGCATTGTTTTCAACCCAAGGAAAAAAAATATTTTTAATTGATA